GATTTCAATGACAAGAGGCATTTTTTGAGTCGCTTTCCAGGTGTTTTTTGAGGCCTTTTTTGTTGATTTCAATGAGAAGCGTTTTTGAGTCAATTTTTCAAGCGTTTTTCTGGTGTGGTTTCTATTGATTTCAATGAGAAGAGGCATTTTTGAGGAGTTTTTGAGTCACTTTTCAAGGCTTTTTTTGGGCATTTTCTATTGATTACAATAAGAAATGGCATTTCTGAGGCGTTTTCCAGTGATTTCAATGAAAAGAGGAGTTTTTGAGTCACTTTTCAGGCACCGTGCTTTTGCTGCACTTTCTGAGCGTTTTTTATAGGATATGTGACTTAAAAACTGCACCAAAAGTGCTTCCCTGAGGCATTTCTGAGGCACTTTTCAGGCATTTTTCATTGACTTCAATGATAAAAGGCGTTTTTGAGTCGCTTTTCAGGCATCTTTTGAGGCGTTTTCCATTGATTTCAATGAGAAGAGGCATTTTTGAGTCACTTTTCAGGCATTTTTTTAAGCATGTTCCATTGATTTCAATGAGAAGAGGCGTTTTTGAGGCACTTTTCAGTCATTTTCCATTGATTTCAATGAGAAAAGGAATGTTTGAGTCGCTTTTCTGGCGTTTTTTTCAGGCGTTTTCTATTGATTTCAATGAGAAGAGGCATTTATTAGGTACTTTCCCAGCGCTTTTCAGGTGTTTTTCTGGCGTTTTCCATTGACTGCAATGAGAAGAGGCGATTTTGTGTCGCTTTTCAGGAGTTTTTTGAGGCGTTTTCTATTTATTTCAATGAGAAGAGGCGTTTTGGATTCACTTTTGAGGCGTTTTTTGAGGCATTTTCTATTGATTTCACTGAGAAGCGGCTTTTTTTGAGCTTTTCTGGCGTTTTCTGGAGTATTTACACCGCAAAAGCACAGTATTTGCAAGCACAATGCCTGAGTGTGAAAACATACATAGATATACATTCACATACATAGGGAGACATTTTTTCTGGAGCTTTTCAGGTGCTTTTTTTTAAAGCAAAAACATTTCTGTGACGGAGCTGGCCCTTTCCCCCCCATCCTCTAGGCTTGCTGCCTGCCACCCCCCACCCCTCACTCTTCTGTCCCATCCATGCTGGGACTTCTAGTCCTCCGTGTCCCTGACACAGGCAGCCCCCAGCAGCCCCCTCACTCCCGTCGCCTGCAGACTGACCCCCTGCTGAGGGAATCCACAAACAGGCCCCCACCCCCCTCCTTTCCCCCTAGTGCACATCTTCCTGGGCTCCATGCCAGACAGGGACAAAGGCCTTATTCCCTGGACGGGTCCGGAAACCTGGGGGACAGGGTCCGTTGCCATGGTAACCCGACAGGAAGTCTCGGGTTACCACGGCAGCAGCAAGGCGCCCAGCTCTGTACTTAAGAGAGAGCAGGACAAACCCCCCTCGTGTTCTCTTGGCTGCATGTGTGAGAGAAGACTGTGCTGCAGTGCCAGCTTCTCTCGGACGACCATCCCCCAGCCCCCTTCTCCTCTCCCTGGCTGACCTGACTGCCCCGATGCTGCTGGATCCCTGCTGGAGCTCTCAAAGTGACTATCCTTATATCGTTTGTCTTATTACAGGATGGGGACATTATGGTGCTTTATATAGAAACAAGGCATACTACATATATTGCAACAGGCGGAAGACCTATTTGGCCTTATCTTGTCTTAAATATCAAAGTGGTTGGCAGTCCACATGTCGTGGTGAAGAAACCATACAAAGCAGGCCTCTGCTAATTGCATCTATTTCTCCATCAAGACAACTACAGGGACTCTTTCACCTACAAGAATCCTTGCAACTATTCACGTTTATTTTGGATAAATGGGCCCCAACCACTTGTGCCTTCATAGGGTTGTACTGCATGTATCTTATACTACATTATTGGGGTCAGTTCCCCATTTCTAGTTTATGTTTTACCCATATTGCCTTTTATATAGGCTTAGGGTTATGCTTCTCTCCAGATGGCAACTGTATTTGTCTTTTTTGCTTGCATGTGATAATATACCTATGGTATAATTTTTGGAAAAATCTCCTTCAGGGAGTATAACCTATGTGGTAACAATATATGCTCTTATTTATATAGCATGTGATATTACATACCTATGTTATAATTTTTTGTATACACCTCCTACAGGGAGTGTAACCAATGTGCAGTGCTGCAAATGCTTTAGACTATGGTGGTCACAGCCTTTGCAGCACATTTATCCAGACCGGTCTTGGTGTGATTTTAATGGTGTTAGGTCTGTGTGTATTGTCTCATACTGAGGTGATGGTAAACCAGGGCGATTGCCCGTGTGTCAATCATTTAAGTGTAATAAAGCATAATTTTTGGAAATTTTTCTGAGTATCGCATTCTGTTCATAATGTAGCCGCTTTCCTGTGAATCTCTTTTCACAAATCCCTTTTTGGCCTGCATGTTTTTTGGCTACTGGATGGAAGCCATATATTGGGTAATACAGTAATTTATATCTAAACCTCTTAAAATTTATCTTTTACTAACTGGACACCTTCCCTGCCTGGATTTAACTCTTTGTTGCCCGTGAGCCAGACAAACTTAACCCTTCCCTGCCTGGAGCTGCCTGTGTGGATTGACCCTGTGCTGCCGGTGTGGACTGTAGCCCTCTGTGTCCGGCTCCCCGCATCCAGTAAGTGGACTAACCCTGTGCTGCCCAAAAGACTGAGCCCAATTCTCCCCAGGAACCCAAAGTCTCACAAAACCACCCCGGCCTTGTCTTACTGAACCCCGTGGATTACCAGCCCCCTGTTGTTCCATATTGCCTTCCAGAGAACTTTACTGTGTTGCTGTGTCTGGTGTGGATCTGTGGACTAAAGGAACTGTTGTCTGTGCCTTAAATCCTCCCCAATAAACGCCCGTATGTCATGTCGAGTTCCGTGCAATCTGTCTCTGTGTGCTCTCTGGTTCTCTTGACAGTTTCAAAAACTCTTTAGAGTTCTCATTAATCTTCTGCAAAAACACATAGATATTTTTACTGTGCTTTTGCTGCACTTTCTGAGCGTTTCTTATAGGATACGTGACTTAAAAACTGCACCAAAAAGTGCTTCCCAAAGGCATTTCTGAGGCACTTTTGAGGTGTTTTTCAGGCATTTTTCATTGACTTCAATGACAAAAGGCATTTTTGGGTCGCTTTTCAGGCATCTTTTGAGGCGTTTTCTATTAATTTCAATGAGAAGAGGCATTTTTGAGTCGCTTTTCAGGTGTTTTTTGAGGCGTTTTCCATTTACTTCAATGAGAAGAGGCATTTTTGAGTCGCTTTTTCAGGCTTTTTGGGGGGCGTTTTCTATTGATTTCAATGAGAAGAGGTGTTTTTTAGGCACTTATCTGGTGTTTTTCTAGCATTTTCCATTTACTGCAATGAGAAGAGGCATTTTTGAGTCGCTTTTTCAGGCGTTTCTTAGCCATTCTCCAATGATTTAAATGAGATGAGGTGGTTTTGAGTCACTTTTCAGAAGTTTTTTTGAGGCGTTTTCTATTTATTTCAATGAGAAGAGGCTTTTTAAAGCTGAATGCTCCTAAAACACTACTAAAACGCTCCTAACAGCTTTTTCGTAGCTTTTTTTCCATACATGTACTGTAAAAATGCAAATAAAATGCTAACACACAAAACGTTACTAAGACACTGCAAAAAAACGCTATTGCTTGAATTTTTTATCCAGTGTTTTTTCCAGCTTTTTTGAGCTTAAAAAAACACTAGTGTGCATGGAGCCTTATAGTGTTAACCACATCCCGACTGCCATATAGCAGATATTCTGCTACAGGGCAGCAGGGGTGCGCAAAATCACACGTGTGTGTATGTGTGTGTATGCATGTATGTACTGTATATGTGATTTTGTATCTCCGGGTAGGGGGCACGCATGCCCTATCCACGCCTCCATTCGTGTCCGCGGCTGTCAATCACTGGGTCCCGGCCGGTGATTCCCCACCGCTGCCCAGTGATTATCAAGCATCTCCGATGGGGAGGAGGACTGCTTTGTTTACTAACAGTTCTCCTCTGTCAGCTCGGTCACAGTGCTCTGGATGGCTGTTCACAGCACAGCTATCCAAAGCAGTGTGATTACAGTGAAGTACCAACACACATCCCCCGCAGTAAAACACTCCCAGCACACAGTTAACCCTTTGATTGCCCCTCGTGTTAACCCCTTCCTGCCCAGTGTCATTAGTACAGTGTCAGTGCTATTCAGTTGAATGGGTTGAGTTCAGCAGGTAGTAGTGCCTGCTGAACGCGACAGGAGTATACATTTTGCTGCCACATATTTTTATTGACCCCCAGCACAAGTGTAAAAGAGGCCATAGAATTTGAGAGAGCTGAACCCCCCCCCCCCCCCCCTTCCCCTCAGGAAAAAAACATTATCTACGGCCCTGATAAATTAGTTGTCTTAGGTGCCCTGTAATGTTAACCAAAAATCAGCCAGCTTTAATTTTTCTGTTTTTTCAGCTGATGAAGACCAAATTTCATTGGATTTCTATGAATTACTGTAAATATAATTACTCTTGTGCCACCATGCTAATTTAGCCCCAGTAGTGCACTGGTGGTCCTATCTGTGATCAATATATCAGTAAATTAAGAATATGTACTCTGTAATTGTGCACACATACAAATGGGGAAAAGGGGGCAATTGTGGAAAAGGAAGTTAAATCTCTGCCGTCTCTTTGACGCCACTAAGCAATGCCTTATTTAGAAGCTATTGGGTAACACGGTCTTAAGTCACCGTGCTATTTTGGGTACACAGACACTGGTTCCGTGAGCTGTTTTTAGCATGTTATTGAGAGACAGAAGGCTGTGTGTCTGAGTCACAGGGCATATGATGAGAACATTGAATAATATGTGCGTCATGTTGGCCAGGACTTTGGGACACAAGAAAAGTCTGGAAGTTCAAGCAACAAGTATAAAAGAGTTCTTGGGACCATAATCCCCCACATCACACTAGAAGCTACATTAGATTGATATCTCCTCAAAGAAGTTCAAAGACATCATGTTGAGCCTTCAGCTGGCTAGGGGTGGCTCCCATAGCCCTCTTGTTCCTTTCCTGAGGCCTCTGTGGCCCTTGTCCAGAGACATCTTCAGCAGCTTGGAGCAGGATATGATTCGTACTGTAGGAGAGATTAGAGCCAGTATGACACTCATGGACCAGTTTCACCACCAGCTGCTGCAGGAAATGACACTTCAAGAGAACAAGACTCTACCTGTAATGAGCAGCACTGACACAAAGACCACCAAGGATGACTTCATCCTAACCTTGGACATTCAAGACTTCTCCCCCCAAGAGCTGACAGTCAAACTGCTTGGAAACAAACTGCTCGTGAGCGGGGCCAAGGAATCCAAGATGGATGATGGGAAAGGATCCTTCTCCTACAAGTGCCAGATCTTCAGGAAAGAGGCAGATATCCCCCAGGATGTGAAAGCTGAAGATATCACCTGTACAATAACCAGCAATGGGCACCTGCAGATACAAGCTTCATGTGTACCTGTGCCAAGCGTGCAAGAGAGGACTGTGCCCATACAGCTTCCAGCAGCGGTTTCTCAGTGCAAAGTCTAGAGCTCCAAGTGCACCAAGGAATCAAGATCTTAATATGGACAGTCTGATAGACACTTATTAACACATCCAGGATTTTTATATTCAATCATAGAGATTTTGACTTTTATAGAGATGTAAGAATTCCTGTTACTGGATGATATTAAAAAAAAGAATAAATTAGTCTTTATAGTATACTCATATTGTGTAGCATTTATATGCTTGGAATGTGTTTACATCTTACTTTTTACTGCTAAAATATACAATAGCAATTCCTATTTTATATCAGGTTCATTTGATGCTGGTGTTATTAATTAAACACATGGGGGTCTATGTATAAAATTTGCACAATCAGGGTGAAAATTGCCGTAGTTATGTGCGATTCCTGCATCATCAGAGCAACCTAGTGCTCATAATGTGTTTTTTTTTTTCATAAACACCTCAATCAGGAAAAAAAAACATATTTCTGCGACTGCATGGCAATGGCATATCCTACTGTATATCTGGTTCATATAATACTGGTGTTTTGATGTGGACACATGGGGGTCTATGTATAAAACGTTCGCTGGTCACGAGACAAACATTCGGAAAATATATGATATGGGCAAAAATGGCAGTATTTCCATTATGTGTGAGTTCTACATCGTCGGCGCCACCTAATGGTCAGTTTGTTTTGTTTTTTTTTCAAGAAATACCACAATCAGAAAAAAAAAGTTGTGGCCACCAGATGGCATTGATGATATAGGACTCACACATCATAGAGGAAGTACAGCAATTTTCACCAGGATTGTGCAAATGTTTGTCCCATTCACACAACAAACACTTTATACATAGACCCCTTATTCCTTATATCTCTTGACACGTTTGTTACAATATTATATGCACAATCTCATTGGTACCGTCTGTTTTGAAGTTACCTAGTGCAAGGACCTACCAAAACAACACATTCATTTTTTATCCAATCAGGTAGGCCCTTGTACTACACAGCTGTTGGTAAATTCAAAGCAGATTGTACAATTAGGCCTCTTCTGCCGCTTGTAAATGCATGTTTTTTTTTCTTTTTACATTCCAACACTCCTGGCACAGAGATCACTTGTGTTTGTCCATTTCAATTATCTGTGATTACGTGCATTTACATGCAGCTGCGTTTAGCTGCAGTAGTAAATTCCTGCCTTTTATGTAGCAACAGTTTACTTATTCTTTCTTTGTACTGAGATTAACTGCGTTTATGAACAGATAGCTGCAGTACATCTCTCCTGGACGCTGTCAACTTTATTTTTCCTAAACGCATAAAACTGCATGTTATGAAAACGTTGCTAAATGCAGTGTGTGAATGGAGCCATAGGGATACATTGTCTGCATTTAGGTGCGGTAAATAAGTTCCTCTAATGGTAACCACAGCTAAAAGCTGAAATCTAAATCTATGTTGTACATATAAGTAGATTGTCTCTTTTTAGAAAGAAGTACTTTTTACATTCCTGAATTGTTTTAATCTGTATAATGTATATATATAATCCCCTCAGCCTATGTGACTGAGGTGTCCCTGTTCAATTTGTTGCCTGTTCAGTCTGTGTGGCTGATTTATGAATAGTATAGTCTGGTATATATCCTTGGCCAGGATTGGGGGCCAGATATACAGTTCCTGCTATTATCTAAGTATATCCTATCTTTGCATTTGATCGTGGGGGCTTAGTAATAGATGAATTCTGACATTATCTAAGTATATCGTATCTTTACATTTGATTGTGGGGGCTTAGTAATAGATGAACTCTGACATTAAGTATATCATATCTTTGCATTTGATCGTGGGGGCTTAGTAATAGATGAATTCTGACATTATCTAAGTATATTGTATCTTTACATTTGATTGTGGGGGCTTAGTAATAGATGAACTCTGACATTAAGTATATCGTATCTTTGCATTTGATCGTGGGGGCTTAGTAATAGATGAACTCTGACATTAAGTATATCGTATCTTTGCATTTGATCGTGGGGGCTTAGTAATAGATTCATTCTGACATTATATAAGTATATTGTATCTTTACATTTGATTGTGGGGGCTTAGTAATAGATGAACTCTGACATTAAGTATATCGTATCTTTGCATTTGATCGTGGGGGCTTAGTAATAGATTCATTCTTGAGGAAGTCTCACCACCGTGTGAGATAGGGAATTGTACCACCCCGAATAGGTGTCTGTGTGATCCCACTCGGAGCTCCTCCTGGATTGCCAAAGATTATATAACTTTGGAACAGGAGTGGCCGAATCCCTCAAGGAATGGAACCAAGGCACACAGGAGTTTTGTACCCCTAGAAGGGAAATATCACCTTAAGCTCTTGAAAGAATGTAAAAAGTACTTCTCAGATACTTTCGAAGCTAAGACAATTGAACAAATGTGAGTGAACAATGTGAACAAAATTGTTGAAAAAGGAAATAAAAGAGACTTATAGTCCTATATAAGAACATTAACCTGATAATATTGCCAAATAACTGTAAGCACATGATACCTTATACTACCACCCTGCCTACTTACAATGACCTAACTAGAGGCATGGGTTAGAGCCTACTGTAAGTGTGAACACCAGATAAAAAAAGGAAAAAATGAGACCTATACTGAACTATATAAAGGTTTAAGGTACAGTCCAGAAAAAAGAGAGAGTGCAGCCTTATTAGAGAAATGTGCTAATATTTTTTGTCTAGAATTTAAGCAAGCTAATTGTGAGAGTATGTTGCTGTGTTAAGACGTGTGAGATCCATGGATTGTAAATTGTGTTGTTTAGATTGACTGTATTAATGTGCCTAAAGTGCTGTGTCTGCAAAATATTTTACAATACTGATTCAATATCACTGGCATAATGATTTGTTTGTGTTTGTTACTTATATTTTACTGTGATGTGATGTTGCAAGTAAAGGTAACGAGTCACTGCCATGTTGATCATGGCAACAGCTAGAAGCTGAACAAATTTTGACCTTAAAATGACTAAATTTTGATTTTTGATTTTTAGAAGTTTAAACAAATTGAGCCATATGATTGGGGTAACTAATCACTTAAAATCGTAAAATCATAAGTGCAATATGCAGACGTTTTGCACTTTCCAATTTAGGAACATGGTAAATTTAATGTAGAAAAAAATTGAAAATATATTGCTCATTCTGAAAAAAAGTAAATCTAAGAAAATTGTAAATTGAAAATTGTGAAACGCTTGCTGGGGTAACTATTGATGTGGACATTGAAGCCACACCCATTGCAGTTATTAAAATTGGAAAATAAAAAGTCAAGTGAAATGTATAATAAATAAATAAAAGAATTAGTGACATGTAAAAAACATTTTTACTGATCTTGTTTAAAGTTTAAAAATCAGGAGGTGCTGACAGCCCACAGAGTGCTGACCCCCCTTATCTTTAACACAGGTTAGTTGCATGGTTTGTGAATGAGAAAATCTGTATGGTCATGCAAATTTACTGAGCCAAGTGAACTTTAAAAGGAAATTAGCTGTGAATAATGAATTGTTATGTGTATTCACTATATTGTGTTTGTTTTTTCTAGAAGATACAGTTTTGGAAGAGTTTCCAATGTGTTCAGTATGGTGAAGTATAACTCTCTCTTGCAGACAAATGGTAGCTTACTAAAAGGTTTACATTGAGCTGCTCATTTTTAACCATGGTGAATAAAAATTATTTTTTTTAATGGTATACCATAAACAAAATCCACGTGGTAATAATTAATTTGAAGTCAACAATTTATGGTATTAGAAAAGTGCACTGTTAGAACTAAGAGAGAAAATGTTAAAAATATGTTCTGTATGCTTTGTTGGTGTTAGGTCTTTAATCATTGGTTTATTGTTAGGAGGAAAGTGGAATGTTTGTTACTAAATGTAATTGATGCTAATTCCTCAGATTAGATCAATGCCCTGGTTTGACTTCTTCCTGGCTTGCAGAACAGAAGATCGCAGCCTTCATAAAAGAATCAACCAATGGAAGTATTGTTCCAAATTGTTTTCTTACTTGTTTTATTAGTCTGTTTTCTTATATAAATACTTAAGGGTTTCACCCCCATTAGCTGATATTGGTGCATTTGTTTGAGTTTGTACCTACTTTAGTAGTTCCCTAGTTGCCTATTCATTGGGTGTTAGATCTTCTTTGTTGTGTGTTCTGATCTAACATGTATGGGCTCTGGTGATAACGAGTTTGACACTCCAAGAGAGGTCCCCAAACCAACTAGATAAAGCCAGAAATCCCCTATTACCAGTGACAATAGAACTAAGTATTTTCTATCTTATAAAGTTTTTATATTATTGTGAGATGAAAGTTTGACTAAGATTGAGTTGAATAATTGTTTCTCTGTTTTAACACCTATAATATCCTGAGAAATATAATGAATGTATGTTATTGTTACTATATTGATTGTTAACCCCTTCACGCCTAAGGGTAAAACAAATCTAAATGCCTAAGCACAATTCTGCAACGTTGATGTGTTAGTAAAACCGTACATATCGTCACAACTACTTTGTACATCCAGGTGGATTATACCTTGTTTTTTACAGGACAAATTGGGCTTTCATTTGGTGGTAAATGGTCATGGATAGCTCCTAATTTTTTTTTATTATTAAAGGAAAACTGGGCCAAAATAGTAAAAAAAATCATTTTTTTTAAATTTAACTGTGTGTTTCTTGTTACGACCATAACCTACCACCAAAGAACAACCCAAAATACATTCTCCAGTTCTTGACGATCGCAGCGATACCATATATGTGTATGTTATTTGTTGTTTGTACCCGTAGTACAGTCCAGAAACAACAGTGCGCATTTTGTTTTTGTCTTTTTTTTTAATATAAAACACACTGTCACTGACATTGACATTAACACTAACTGACACTGATACCAATTTTTTTTTTAAAATCCTGACCTTTGACCCTGACCTTTGCCCTTGACCCTGACCTTTGACCCTGACCTTCACCCAAACACTAACCCTGGTACTGAACTAGATCAAACCTTGATCTAGGTATTTTTCTTTATTTTTTCTT